TGATGGAAAGAATATAAAACTGCAGAGGAATGTACACAGGACAGCCCTCATAATTAGAATTGAAAAAAGCAAGAACATATGTCCAAGGAAGTCCAAGGTTGCTTCTGAAAACAGGAAGGAGACCTTCTTGTCCACCTCTCCACCTAACCCCATGAATTCTCTGTTATTTTCTGTCCAGGTGGAAGCACAGGACAGTCAGTGAAGCAAACAACTGGCATTGTGACTGTTACTGAAGGACAACCGGTTTATCTCAATTGTTCTTATGAAACAGGGTTTAGTACTTCATATGTCATATCCTGGTACATTCAGCCTCCTGGTCAGCCCCCAAAACACCTTCTGAATTCATATTTGGAAACAGCTGAAGGATTCCAAGCTACTTACAATGACGATAAAAAAGAGAAAAGGGGGACTTTCAACATGCAGAAACCAGATGTCCAATTGAAAGAGTCTGCTGTCTACTTCTGTGCCTTCAGTGACACCGTGAGACAAAGTAGAGGAGAAGCCAACTAAAAAGGCACAAGGGGGAAGAAAAGCAGTGAAGGTGAACTCAGAAATGAAAATTCCAAACATTCTTTTCAGATGAAGGTCCATGAACATAACTGGATATAATCCAGATCAACCTTGAAATGTAAGTGAGGCTTAGGAAATCTGAATATTTCTGGTCTCAGTGTCTGATGACAGGAAGAAGGACCACCTGCGAAAATATCTGATAATGGTTATCTAACCATTTGGAACAACTTATCTCCATATTTATGCAAATAAGGTTCCATGTCATTTAGGTTCTAGCATTGTGAGTTTTCCATTCAACATTGGGATTCAACTTTCAATTTTTAACCCCTTCAGACTCTAAAAATATTCCAACTCACATTTCATATGAAGAATATCTTTCTCTCTGTGTGTTTCTGTTCCTCTGCCTCTTTCTGTCCTATATATACTTCAAGTTCCTTCTCCATTCACTTGACCAAGAAGACATTGTTCTTTCAAAAATCTCCTTCAACACTGTGATCCTTCCTTCAACCAAATTGTTTCATTAAACCTACCTTAAAACACATGGTGGCAACCTAGAGATAACTTGAGTCTTACCAGGAGAGACACATGACCTTCTCTGGCTCTCTAAAACATATCCTGTGGTTTGTCTTCCTTTTACCACCAAATTTACATGTTAGAAGACAATTCCTTTGCGAAAGGAAAGAACGTGTAGTCTCTAAGTGTCTGTTGCAGCAAAGTTGACAGCAAACAACTGAAGGTGACTACAGCCATTTGAAGTTCTCCAAAGATTATCTTTTTTTGTTGAAAATTTTTGAAAATTTTTTTTTACAAAGATTATTTTGAGAGGGTTTTGTACCCAAATTCTTAATTCGAAAAAAATGTGGGTATTCTTCTTCATCATCATCATCATCCTCGTCTCCCTTCTAAGTATGTATTTATTCCTAACAATGGTTGAGTATAGGTTTTGGTTGAGCATGTCTTCAGTTCTAGAAGTTCCTTCAAATCAAGTTGATCCTCTGGATGTTTTCCTAGAAATTGGCAGTAAATTCATCTCCTGGAAATTATAAGAACTGAAGTATTTATCTGAAATGAAATCTCT